CTGAATGAATAAATTGTTCCTAACCATTTGTACATCTGTTCCCAAAGAATTTTTGTATGCAATTTTAGGATTTTAATGGCTCCTTAAGCCTATTGATGAGCCTCCATTTTTCTTTCTGTCCCCCCAAAAAAAAAATCAAGAGAAAACAAGAAATAGAAAGTATTTCACCCAAGGGTTAAACATGTTCATCATATACTCTAATGATGTCATTAACAGTGAATACCAAATGATCAACTACATTAAAAAAAACTAAATCACTAGGTTCTATTCCTTTCTTAATTGAAAAAGAAAACTAAATCACCAATTCTTAGATTATTTTTAAGACAAAACGTATGAATACTTAGCATTAATCCAATAAAAACAAAAATCATAAATTTTTATAAAATATTATTAATTCTGATGAGAAGGAGGAAAAGACATGTAACAGTGAAAATTCCCCCAAATAAGTGCAGAAAAAGTTTTTTGGGGGCACAGTCGAGACAGGGTCTCACTACACTGCTCAAGCTGGTCTTGAACTGGCCTCAAGTGATCCTTCTGCCTCAGCAGCTTTCCAGAGTGCTGGGATTACAGGCATGAGCTACCCTGCCTCAAAGAACCAGTTTTTAAAAGACTAAACTGGCTACCTTTAACAATTCTTTATAAATTTCCAATGAGCTTACCCCCCCCAAACATCACAAAACAGTTATAAAATGTGTCATAACAAATACAATAAGCCAAATATAATAAACTGCTTTATAAAAAAAGATTTTATAAGCAACATAATGGTGAGATGCTGTACACTGTTAAAAATTGAAATAATGTTTACTGGATAATTACCTCTTCGGTATCTTTTAGTGTACACACGTGATATGGCATAGATATTAGTGTCTGCTCCTTCCTGTCTGCAATATAAAGCCACCACCATTCTTGTTTTTCCTAGAAAGAAAAAAAAGGGTATAAATAATCAGAACTACAAAAATATAGTTTTGGCCTATCTTATTTCAGAGATACTACCCTTGTTTTGTTCACTGCTCCATCCCTAGCGCTGAGAGTCCGTCTGGTACAAAATAGGTGTTTTATAATTATTTACTGAATAAATAAATTGTTCCTAACCATTTGCACATCTGTTCCCCAAAATAATTTTGTATGCAATTTTAGGAGTTTTTAATGGCTCCTTTTGATGAGCCTCCATATTAAAAACCCCTGATTTAGCTTAAATGACAAAATATATTCTAAAAAAGAAAACAACATAAACTATTAAAATAACATGTTGCAAATAATCTTAGTAATCTTGCCTAGTAATAAGAAAAAGCCACAAGGTAGGAATGAAAAGGACTTGGGCAGCCAAATAAAAAATCAATACATTAAAATACTTTATACTCTTCTAAGAGATCATCTCAGAGTCTAAGAGCCTGTTTATACCTTTCATTGCACATGATCTTAATAAACTTGGCATTTGTAGTTGAACTCCAAAAAGATTAGGAATAGAAAAGAGAAGTAAAGAAACCACCACCAGAATGCACACAGTAACAGCAGAGAGAAATGAAAGAATAAGAGACAGAAAACTATTTAAAAAAAAATTTAGAAGACCAAGCAGTCTGAAAGCACCAACCCACGGTGTACTCAGCCACCACTGCTATATTACAGCACCCATCAGTAACTGTTTAGTCATCTGCTTAGTATCATTTAAGAATTGGGTAGGGAGGATATCTTTCTAAAACAGTTTAAAGAAAAATGTTTTGCAGCTTAAAATAAACTCTAGGATGTTCTAAATATTCATTTAACCAAAATAACACTAAACTCTCAATTGCCCAAAATGGTTAGAAAATAATTTCATTAAAAGTTTCTTTGAAGGCCGGGCGCTGTGGCTCACGCCTGTAATCCTAGCTCTTGGGAGGCCGAGGCGGGCGGATTGCTCAAGGTCAGGAGTTCAAAACCAGCCTGAGCGAGACCCCGTCTCTACTATAAATAGAAAGAAATTAATTGGCCAACTGATATATATATATAAAAAATTAGCCGGGCATGGTGGCACATGCCTGTAGTCCCAGCTACCCGGGAGGCTGAGGCAGAAGGATCACTCGAGCCCAGGAGTTTGAGGTTGCTGTGAGCTAGGCTGACGCCACGGCACTCACTCTAGCCCGGGCAACAAAGTGAGACTCTGTCTCAAGAAAAAAAAAAAAAAAAAAAAAAAAGTTTCTTTGAGAAAATATTTGTGTTTTTAAACCAAAATTGCTACACTATTTTATTTTAATAATGAGATTAAAATATGGCTTATTATATAATAATACCACACTAAGTTCAACTAAAAACTCTTCTGTTTAAATACCTTAGAGTACAAAGTGCCACAACACTAATAAGTCTAATAAATAAATCGCAACTGCATGATGATGTGAGCAGCACCTAACAAGAAAATTCAATTCTGCTTACCCCAAGGGTCAGGTCTACCACAGCAGGCATATTTGTATATATAATGTTTTGTGTTTTCCACACACAACGTATATAAAAACATAATGGACTCAAAGTACAGTATTAATATCTGGGCTTTGGGGGCCAGATAGTAGGGTCTCTGTTGACCCTACTTAAATCTGCCATCGCAACATGAAAAGAATGGGCGCAGCTGTGGTCTAATAAAACTTTCTGTACAAAAAAATCACACTTACAAAAACAGGCAGGGAGCCAGATTAGGCCTGCAGGCTGTAGTTAGTCAATATCTGTTTTAAAGCCACACAGATCTAAGTTATTTCACCTCCCTAAAATCTTACTTTCCTTCTCTGTTAAACAATCAGTGCCTACCTCTGGCCATGTTGTGAATATAAACCGAGACAATACAAATAAAATATATGTCAGAATGCCTAGCACATAGAGTGTAATAACTGACAGTTATGATTATTAGGGAAATGAAGTACAAGAACACTTCTTTTATTTAAATGATTCTGACAATTGTTAGAAACATCATTACATGTATGTAATATCTTTACTTCCCCACTTAAAGAATGCCTTTCCCTCCCTTGCCCCAGACTGTTTAATTAAAATGAGATTCACTCAAGTTTATTAAACAGCCAGTGAATATCAATAAATGGCATTGCACCTGTGCTTAGACTCTTTAATGAACATGTTAAAAGTGAAACACATGTTTTATGAGTTGTTTGCACTTTAAGCAAAATTGTTTTTCTGTTGTGTGAGATTCCCAACCATTCTTGACATATTAAATATAATAAATGATTTCAATAATATGTTATTACTAAGTGGGTAGTTCGGTAGTTGGGTTACTTAGGTAAGGTACATGGGAAAGTAGACAAGTAGATGTTAGAAAGAGCATAAATAAATTTTATCTGATAAATGGTACTTTGAGATGTTTACCATGCAGATGCAGATTAAATCTGAAAAAGGCATTTCACTGATAAAATGTTCTAAGGGGGTGAACAAATGTTTCACTTATCAACTAAGCATGATCTAAAACGCAACTGTCTGTTATATGGGTACAAATTATGCAGCTTACAGCTTCCCATGGCACTTTTAAACCAATCAATGAGTGGAATTTATTCGCTTGATTTCAGGATGCTTGGTGTTGGCAGACTACCTCAGCAATGGGCAAAATGCCCCTAACAGATGGCTAAAGCTCAGGACGTGCCAGAAGATCAGCGTGTGCATGAAGATGGAATCCTGGACAGACTTCTCTCCAAGTCAAAACAACAGTCTGTGCAGAGCCACTCATTATTACTGGGAGAGCCAAATTATTTAGGAATTTGTCTTAAGCAGTACCCAGAAACTCTGGATTGACATTCTCAAGCAGAAAGCAGATTTATACATGAAATCACCTGCCAAATACAAGTGGTGAGCAGAAGGTTCTGTAGTAAAGCTGTGAGGCAGTCTGTGGAACAGTTTCCCTGAACTGGGGGGAAATCAGTTCTTGACCTCTGCTCCACAGACAGAATCATCCTCAAACGCAAAATGTCAAGGGGATCCCAAAGTAATTTAAAAGACAAACAACATAAGCTGTCAAGAGGACCAAAAGCTGAGCAGGCCACAGCCACGAAGTAAACAAGAACAAGGGAGCAAATAGCATTGTAATGACAAGTCCTGGATTTGGGGCTCAGTCACTCTCAGCTTTTACTGAACTTTGTTCAGGGCCAAGAACACAGCTGGTGCCAAAGCCATGGGCTCACCCACTGACTGGCACAATTACTGGGGCCAAAGCAAGTCTAGTAGCCCCATGTGACCAATATAGAACTCTCAAGGAAAAATTTAAGAATGTTTTCATTCTATTTAAAACTTGGCAGGGGTGAGAGATTCATATAGTCAAGCAGTCAAAGGTGAAATAAATGTATGTTTAATGAAGACTGTCTAAACTGCTAATGAGAAATAACTATTAAGCACAACACTCGTAACCTGGGCACAGAAAAGATGGAAACACAAAAAACACAGAAATCCTTAAGAAGTTAACAATCCTCCTTTGAAACCACACATTCACTAGATGTATAACATGTAATAATACAAAGTAAAAATGTGGCCTCTCAAGAATAGACCGTATTTATCACGCTTGAGCTAGTACACACCAGAGACAAAAGTTTGGACTTAGGAAAACACTAGACTGTGTATAACTCACCTCGGGGAAGTAAAGACTATACACAGGATGTGTTATCTTTGATTTGGTTTCCAACAGAGCTCTCTCCTTTCTCTGTATACTTTGTTGTAATTCTTGCCACTCCTAGGAAAGAAAAAATTAAAATATTTGAAATCTAGTATGTTTCTGATCATTTTGAGGAGTATACAGCTATTATTTCTGACAATGCTAATTAATTACTTAGGGTTAGAACAAGTTCAGTACCACAATTCTGATATCTTCCTGCTCAAATTTCCAATGCCTCTTTTTATAAATCAATCTCACCCCTGCAACATGAACTACATGGCCGTTCACCCTCTGACCCTGGCCCTGCCTGTCCAGTCTGTTACTGCCTTCCTCTTTCCCCTTTCTATTCCAGTCATTTCAAACTATCTATGCTTCTCTGAACTTACCAAACTATTTCACTCCTCCAAAACCCTGTTTAAATGTGTGTTTAATTCTCCGCCTACTCATTATTCTCTCCGGGCCAGCCTAAAGTATGAACTCCTGAGTAAAGCCTCCCACAAATTTCCTTCTACCTCAGAACTGAGTTGATCACTCCTTCCTTATGCACCTTACAGAAGATGTGTATAATCTTGCATGTACTATAATGATTATTTACAAATCTGCCTGCCCCACTAGTCTTCATATCATTCAAGACCAGAGACTACTTCACATTTAGCTTTGCATTTCTTTCATCTAAGACAGACTTGGGATTGACAGATAATCAATAATTATTTGTCAATTGGATGAATATAATTTTGGTCGTATGAAGAAGCTAGCTGTCAAAACCCTAAGGGTCACCTCTACTGACCCTTAATATACTCAGAAAGGAATATTTCAACTTTTCCTTGAAGAGAAGCTGGGGAAATAATTTCTTTGATAGAGTTTAATTTTCTGGCAATTAATTAAATTCTCAAAGTGCAAAAACAGTCAAGGCCCAGTAACGGCTAAAAACAGTCATCCATATTTGTTTTCTACCATTCCCAAAGATGGGTACATCATTTCCTTATGCTCTTCTTTTTAAAGAGACAGGTTCTCACTCTGTTGCCCAGAGTGGAGTGCAGTGGCACGATCACAATTCATTGCAACCTCAAAGTCCCAAGCTCAAACCATCCTCCCAAGTAGCTGGAACTACAGGCATGCACCACCATGCTCAGCTAATTTTCAAAAGATTTTTTGTAGAGACGAGGTCCTGCTATGTTGCCTAGGCTGGCCTTGAACTCCTGGACTCCCAAAGTGTTGGGATTACAAGTATGAGCTCCTGTGACCAGCCTGTTTCCTTATGCCTTTATCCTTTGCAGCCCTCTACTTCTTTCTCTTTTTGGCCTCTCCTTTCGCCCCAGATGCCATTCAGGCAATCTCTTTTTTTTCTCCCAAACCACAAGGGTTACTTTTAGATCAACTGCCTGGTCAAAAAGAACAACACTAAGAAACAAAAATCAGCTGATCAGTTTATAGTTCATTTGCAAGGACCCCATTCTTCTCCATAACCCCCCCAACAAATCATGTGCAACTTAATGCCATGAGATTTTTCTGTACTCTATACCCTTACCATATTAATTCATTAAAGACTCGCCCAGTCCTTACTCAAATGTCTTATATACACTGAAAATTTCCTAAAGAGCCCAAAGTGAATTCACGTCAAACCCAGGTCCTACACTACCTAACAATTTAAGATTTAAGAAAATTAGGATTTCTAATCCTCATCAGAAAGTTTTTCTTTATAACCCTTACTGCCATTCCTCAAAGATGTTCTTACAAAGTAACAAGATTATAAAATACATGGATATTGTTTAAAAGCAAGCAAACATATGAACAATAACAACAAAACCCAAAACAATCATCAAAGGTATAATTCCAAATATTTAAGCCTATAAGTCTTACTGCTTCATCATCTTTGTTTTGTTTTTCATCTTGCTCTCTATCAGATTCTCTGTCACTACCATCATCTTTTTCACTTTGGGAATCTCTATTGGTTTCTTCTTCTTCAGAGTCACTGCCTTTGTCAGAAACTTCTTCTTCATCTTCCTTTATTGCAGCGTCCTAAAACGAAAAAGCAAGCACCAAAGTTCTGAATATTTCAATGAGTATATATCAATCTGAGTCCTTGAAGCTAACTTATTGTCAGCATAACTAAACTGGCTCAAGATTACAATTTCACTAGTCATACACAATTTTAGAAAATTATAAACATTCTTATTTAAAGATGTGGGAGTTAGACTGAAGACTTTAACATTTGGCTTATTTGTCTATTATTAGTTATTCAGTCTTCATAGCTTGTAAAATAAATACATTTATTTCCATTTGTAAAGTACACTACCACAATGGCTAAGATGGCTCAGCTTTTAAAAGCATCAATTATACAGTATATTTTATTTGAGAAGGGGAAATAGGAAGTTTATAGGAAAATACTGTTTTGGAAGTTTAGGATCATTTTCGTTAACTGACAAGGTATAAAGCAGTAAGAAAAAAACAATATCCCAGGAAAAATGCTTACTAGTCCATTTCAAGAAGAAAAAGAACAGCAAATTAAATGCAAAGAAAGTAGAAGTAAATAATAGACCAGAAATCAAGAAAAAAGAAAGCAGATAAACAAAAGAGAAACTCAAAACCAAAAGTTGGTTCTTTGAAAAGATTAATAAAACTGATTAAACCCTGAGACAAGAGAGCACAAGAAAAAAATGAAGAATATAAATTACAAATATTAGGAATAAAACAGACATAACTAGATCCAACAGACATTAAAAAATAAAAGGATTTTATAAATAACTTTATGACAACAAATTTAATAACTTAGATGAAATGGACAAATTCCTTGAAAAATATAATTTACTAAAATCAGTAAGAAAAATGCAAAATGTATGTTAAAGAAACAAACTTTACAACTAAATCCCTTTTTAAAACTCCAGGCCCAGATGGTTCTCCTAGAGAATTCTTCCAAAGAAGAAACAAACCCAAACTTACACAAACTCTTCCAGAAAAAAAGAGAGAACACTTCCTAACTTGGTTAATAATGCTACCATAAAAGACCTGGCATGGATATTACAAAAAAAAAGGAGAATGACAACCTAATATTTGCTTATAAAAATAGAAGTGGGAATCCAAACAAAATATTATCAAATCCATAGAAACACAAAAAAGGATATTATGTTATGACCAAATGAAATTTGTTCTAGGAAAGTAGGGATGGTTTCAAATTTTTAAAACAATCAATATAATTCACCACATTAACAGAAAGGAGAAAAATAAAACAATCTACATAGATACAGAAAAGCTGTTAATAAAATTCAATTCATGCTCATGATAAAAATTCTCGGCAAACTGGGAATAGAAGGGAACACTTCCTTAACTTGATAAAGAATATCCACAAAAACCCTACAGCTAACATCATACTTAGTGGTAAAATATTGTTCGCTTTCTTCCTAACAACAAAAAGATAACAAGGGTATCTACCATCAGCACTCCTTATCAATATTACACTGGAAGTTCTAGCCAACACAGTAAGGGAAAAAGAAGGGGCACAAAGATTAAAAAGAAAAAAGTAAAATTGTCTTCATTCACAGATGATAAGATTGTACCCAGAGAAAACATTTACAAAGTATCTACAAATGGCTAGAATTGTCAGTTCATTAAGACTACTTGATACAAGATCAACATTTAGAAAGCTACTGTATTTCTATATACCAGCAACAAACACTGAAGAATAAAAAATGTTTAATGCCATTTACAACACCAGAAAGCATCAAATACATAGCAATAAATCTAAAGATGTGCCATACCTCTACCACTGGAAATTACAAAACACTACTGAGAAAAATTAAGGAACATCAAAATTAATGAAGATAAATCACAATTATGAACAAAAAGACTCAGTATTGTTAACATGTCAATTCTCCCCATATCAAACCATAGATTCAATGCAATACCAATCTGAATTTCAGCAGCTTTTTCTGATGGAAATTGTTAAGCTTATTCTAAAAATATAGCTGGAAATGCAAAGGACCTAAAATAGGATAATTTTAAATTAGTAAAATAAAGAGTTAGAACACTTACACTACCATACTTTAAGACTTAACACAAAGCTACAATAATTAAGACAGTATGGTATTGGCACAAGAATAGACAAATAATCAAATAAACTAAAAAGTCCATAAACAGACCTACACATCAGATACAGTATAGTCACCTGTTTTACAACAAAGCACAAAAATCATCCTTAGCTCATTACAACTCAGTGAGCAAAGGATGATTTTTCAAGAAATGGTACTGGAATAAGTGGTCCATATCCCCTACCCTGCACCATTCATGAAAATTTATTTTAGATCATAAAGCTAAATATAACAAGTAAAATAACAATGGTTCTAGAAGAAAACAGAAGAATACTTCATAACCTTGGGATAAACAGAGATGTTTTAAACAGGACACAAAAGCACTAACCATAAAATAAAAGATTCATGAAATGGACTTCACTGAAATTAAGAACCATCAAAAGCTACCATTAAGAGAATAAAAATGTAAAGACTCATATCCAGAATATATAAAGGACTCCTACAAATCAGTAAGACAACAAACAACCCAACAGAAAAAGAGGTTATCCAAATGGCCAGTAAGCCTAAGAAAAGATGCTTGCTGTTCAACATCATTACACATCAGGTAAATAGAAATAAAAACCACACAAAGGGTTACTAAATGGCTAAAATAAAAGACTAGTAAAACTGAGTATTGGTGAGGATGCAGAACTAGACTCTCAAACTTTGCTGGTAGGAACATAAAATGGTACAACTGTGGAAACCAGGCTCTTTTAAGGGGTTAAACATACACATATTTTATGACCCAGGAATTCCACTGCTAGTTGGAAAATGAATGTCTAAAAAATGCCATGTACTTATTATATAGCACAGCACTTTTATTCACATCAGGTAAAAACTATAAACAACCCAAATGTCCAATCAACAACCACAGAATAAATTGTGGTATATTCATAGAATAACACACACACAGAGAATGAACTATTACTACAAATAATACAGAGGAATGCCACAGAAATAATGTTGACAAAAAGCAGACATACATAAAATAACTGCACTTATATGAAGTTTAAAAATAGTCAAAACGAATCTATGATAATTATAGTCAGAATAGTGGCAAGTGAGGACATAGGAAGGTGGATGGAGCACTGGGCTCACTGGCTGAGACGATACTCAAGGAAGCTTTCGAGGGTGCTGGTAATGTTTTTTACCTTGATCTGGGTATCACAAATGCATACTTATGTAAAACCTTACGAGGTGTACACATAACACTTGAACATTTTAGGTGTGTATCTTACACAACAATGATAATAAGAAACTTACACTCCCAACAACTCCATTTGCCTGCTTTTGTTTCTGTTGCTTTGACTGTGATAACGGCACAGGTATAGGTTTTTTTTTTAAAGGTTTCTTTTTTTTGGATTTAGCAGTTTTCTTGGGTCCTTTACTCTTCTGTTGCCATCCTCCTTTTGCCCTGTTCTTGTTAGTATCTCCCTGCTGTAAATTACAACACACATGACATTCAGTAAGTTATAGCAATAGATTCATTTGGAAGTCATAGTAATTTTTAGATGGAAATGGCTAACTTGAATGTTTCCATAAACTGAATTATTCTCCCACAGCAATAAGTCAATCAGAGAAGTAAATAAAACATTTCTTTCACCAGGAAAGATAGGTTCAGAAAACTCAAGTTTTTACCCCATCTTCTGCTGGCTGTTCCTCTGCAGCACAAATGGACTGCTCCTTTTCAAATACTTCCTAGGGGTAGCAAGAAAAAAACATAAAATCTGTCAATCTATATTTATCTTTCAGACAAAGCAATCTCTCAAACTATATTTTAAGTATGCTTTTTATAAACTAGCTACAATTGAGGAAGGGGGAAGAAACATTTAACAATTACTAGGTGATGAATATGTATATGTGCAGGTAGTTACCTTTTGAAATATCTCACTTCTGTCTTGAACGTATTTTGAAAAGTACAGTCTACTTAAATTTACAAATGCAATGACTTAAGGTATTTAAGTTTATTATAAAGTAAAAAATATTTCATAATTTAAAATCTCACTTTTATTCTAATAGCAATCAAACACGAATACTTTAATGTTATGAGAATTTGAATATATCACATTTTCTGATATTGAAGCTTTGACAAGACCAACATTAGTTTGTTCATTATTGTCAGTGATAACTCTCATTGGATCTGTGATTAAAAGGGGATCACCAAAATATCCCACATATCCCAAAGACATATCAACCAACCATATAACCCATTTATCATCAGTACAAAGGCTGTAAATTTAGGATTTGAATACCAATAAGAACCCAGTAAGAATCTATAGATGTCAAATGGTGTAGGCTGTGTTTAATGAACTCTCTGGCATTATTAAAGCTAACAAGTAAAAGAATTATAATTATTAGGCTCTATACAATAGAGATAGTCTAATTTAGGGGTCAACATCCTGAAAGGCCCACCACCTCCATTTTTAGTTTGTTGTTGTCTTCTTCAAAGAGGCATATCTCATCCAGAATCCGTGATGCAAATGCTTCCATGCCACTTGCTACCATAAAACCAACACTTTTGAGTTGATATATCTGACTACAAAATATGCTTTTCCTACCAGCGATTTTAGACATGGGATTTCAATGCAGCATATATTTCTTGCATATGCAAAAACCCCAGAAAAGAATAGGCTAAAATCTATCACTATTGAATCAACTCTGAATTGAAATACTACAGTCTCTTAAAAACAATGAGTTACAACTCTACTAGCAGGCTTGGGAAAAAATGTAAATAAGTAATAATTTTAATTTCTTTGTATACTTTTCTGCATTGCCTTAATTTTTTCCCAGACAGCATAAATTTTTCTCATTATCAGAAAAAAAGTTACTTTCAGCCCGGCGCGGTGGCTCACGCCTGTAATCCTAGCTCTCTGGGAGGCCGAGGCGGGCGGATTGCTCGAGGTCAGGAGTTCGAAACCAGCCTGAGCAAGAGCGAGACCCCGTCTCTACTATAAATAGAAAGAAATTAATTGGCCAACTAATATATATACAAAAAATTAAAAAAAAAAGTTACTTTCAGACTGTAATCTTTAAAATGAAAAAGAAAAGGGTGTAAATTATCTAATGAATTGACTAAAAACGAATAGGTGATAAAATCCTCAATAATCAATAATTAACCTCTATATAGCACTTTACAGCTTAAGAACTATAACCGTATCACTTTATTATTATAATGTTTTATAGGGAATTAACAAACTATCACACAATTGATCTATTCCCAGGTTTTTTTAGGGTATGTGAAAACAATGTCTCGTGAAAATTTAAATTTCAAAACAGCTAACAGAAGTTGCAAAACTAAATCTTGTTACTAGAAGAGTTTTGACTTTGAGAACGTAATGAGCAAAATAAACACAAAAACCTTGACATGCAACTCTTAAAGCATAAAATACAAATGTACTACTTACTGCCATTGTTTGCCTTGTCAGCTTAACCAACACTGTAACTAAGGATCCTACTGTGATGTTGTTGCTATCTTCATCATCCAATACTGTAACATGGAAGGAAAAAATAGAGTAAAAAATAAAAATCAAATTCTACATCAATGCAAACAGCAAAACTTAGCTTACCCAAATCAATTTGGTACTTCAGTATTTTGAGCATATTATATCTTAAACTTATTTTAAAATAATTTATTGATTATTCTGTACAAGGCTCTCTAGTAGATGCCTTCAACTGATTCATTAAATCCTTAAAATAACTCTACAAAGTATTATAATTATTTCCACTTTAAAGAAGAAACTGAGGTTCAGAAATAAAGTAAAATGCCCAAATTCACATAACAGCTGCATCAGCACACTAAGTTTCAAGCCCAAGTCTTTGAAAACAGGACTACCACAACACAGTTCTCTCTCACAGTATTATAAAATAGGGTTCTGTTACTCTGATTGTTCAAAGCTTATATTCATAGGATTTTATTTGTATGATCGATGCCTGACTGTCAGAATAAAATAATGAAAATGAGTATTCTAAACCATTTATTTTACTTACTTTTTTAAAGCAATAACTTAAATATATTCCCTTTACATTAAAAAGCACTTTATGTAATAAATAATACTACATACAATAAATTGTTTTGTAATTATTTAATTTTTAAAACCACACTTGCCACACACATCCCCTAAAATTAAAATCAATAAAACAAAATAAATAAAAATAAAACACATCTTCTATTCAAATGTGGGCACTATTAGCCACCCACAGTAGTGTGTGCCTGTAGTCCCAACTACTCGGGAGGCTGAGTCAGGAAGATCGCTTGACCAGGAGTTTGAGGTTGCAGTGAGCTATGCTGATGCCACTGTACTCTGCCTGGGGGACAGAGTAAGACTCTGTCTCAAAAAACAAAACCAAAAGAAAAAAAATTGTGGGCATTAATTCATTATTTTCTGCAAATTTTATTTGTAAGAGATTTCATTGTATATTTTTGTCTACTGTTTTTTCTAAGTTTGTTATGTTTATTTTTCATTGATTAACATTAGTACACATTCTGTCCTCTAATAACACACCACCAATTGGAAAAAAAATGGCCTACAACAACCTATAACTGCTATCTCCATTGCTGGCTGTAAGGTGCAACAGCTGGACATCAACAAAGGGTATGGTATCCTGTCTTCATCCTAGATTCTCAATTATCAAAAATCAAATCTGGGTGGAGCACAGTGGCTCATGCATCCTAGCATTTTGGGAGGCTAAGACAGAAGGATCACTTGAAGCCAGGAGTTCGAGACCAGCTTGAGCAATACAGAAAGACTCCATCTCTACAAAAACTAAAAAATTAGCCAGGCATGGTGGCACATGCTTATGGGCCTCATTTACGTGAGCCCAGGAGTTTGAAATTGCAGTAAGCTATGATGACGCCACTGCACTATAGTGTGGGCAACAGAAGGAGACCCAATCTCCAAAAAAAAAAAAAAACCAAAAAAACAACAAAAAAATCAAATGTGGTCCACACATTCATCTACATGTTTCATTTTGCAGAGCTGTGTGTGCATGAGTACTTCAAGGGAAATAACAGCAATATCCACATCTACCTACTGTTTGATGCTTTAAAGTGAAGAAAAGGCCTACAGGAGATTCTATACAGCCTCTAGCAAAGCAGGGAAGATCCACATCTCCAGCAATGTATCATGCTTCTATAATTCTTCTACTGTACTCTTCCTTTATTAACTATATCACCTACATTATATATTTAGGCACCACTGTAAAAGCATAAAATAATAAACTGTCTATATAAGATGTTATTAACATTTATACCCCCTCAGTATTTTAAAATTTTTTAAAAAATGACGTTATAGAAGAGAACACATGGTAATGTTTCCCAGTGTGACTGAATACTCTTACTTCCTATAAGAAAATCTCTTCTAACCATTGTTCTAAGAAGCATGTACTTTTTACAAATCTTGATTATATCTAAGAGCATCTCTAAGTTCCAAACAAAATCTTTATTTGAGCAATTTCTGATTTAATCAGTGTAGTTCTGAATGTGGCTTTTGGATTACTGCTTTTTAAATCTGAAAACTCACAAATCCACAAGAAAACCCCAACTCCCCACCAAAGTGATCCAGGTTTTCACTATATGTATCCTACACTCCAGCCAAATCCAAATCAGATTATATTGTTTGCCTTGCTGTACGAAATACCCCAATCTTTGGGAGCCATTTACCTCTTCCTAATTTCTATTAGAATATAAATTCAGTGAGGCAGAGGCTTTGTCTTACCACTACTTCTCTCCAAAGACAGAAATTAGGCCCAGCACGGGGGCTCACGCCTGTAATCCTAGCACTCTGAGAGGCCAAGGCAGGTGGATTGCTCAAGGTCAGGAGTTTGAAACCAGCCTGACCAAGAGTGAGACCCCATCTCTACTAAAAATAGAAAGAAATTAATTGGCCAACTAAAAATATATAGAAAAAAATAGCCAGGCATGGTGGCGCATGCCTGTAGTCCCAGCTACTCGCGAGGCTGAGGCAGTAGGATCACTTGAGCCCAGGAGTTTGAGGTTTCTGTGAGCTAGGCTGACGGCACGGCACTCTAGCCCAGACAATAGAGTTAAGACTCTGTCTCAAAAAAAAAACAAAGACAGAAATCATTGTGTTGACATGTCCCTGTACTCTTGGTACCTACAAAAATGTTCTAATAACAGTAACTTAATAAATGTTAAAGCTCAGATCATCAACACCACAAGTTAAGTGATGAAGCAGATCATCTCTAATTGTCAGTATTCTAAGATACTATTACTCAGCTATTAAAATTAAAATAGTAACAGAGCAATTATGTAGATAGAAAAATCTATTTTTTTCCCTCAAAGCAAATATAGAGGTGAGAAAAACATATGAAATGTGGCATAAAACATGGTAATCTTCAAGGCTTAATTAATGTAAGTCGGCTTTTAAAAATTTTTACAACTAAACAGCTATTTCTTTCACACTAATAATATATTTCAAATATCTCAGTCTTTCATTATACCTGGAAATCTCTTTCCTTCTTTCAAAAGTTAAGAAATTCCTTAAAGTTGAACTACAGAACAGAGAACCCTCAGATTTAATCTCATTATGAAGATTATTAAAAAGGCGGCTCTATCAGTGTTCTCAAAACTATTAAGTATACATCATTTTCCAACACAGTAAATCTGACCGCTAAATTATATTTCTGCCAAGTAATTATGTTATTAAATAAAGTGTTTTGAGAATCTTGAGTCAAATAAATGAGAACAAATCTATCAAAAGGGAAGCAATGTTCAACAGGGAAACCTCCCACTTACCCTGTGATTTTATGTCCATGGTCACATATGGAAAACTCCCTAGGACAGCCATAACCTCTTCATATTTTTCATCTTCAAGGAAGTGCAATAGACTGTGACGATCTGATTCTTTTAAACTCACCAAATCCTGGATAGTTTTAATTTTGTACTGGATAAAAAAGGATGAAGAAAGTAAATCCCTAACTCATAAAACTTTTCATAAAAAGAAAACTATTAGCATGCTAACTAAAACAAAGTCTAGCAGCTTTTAGAAAAATGTTAAGATTATATGCATTTCAAAGCAGAAAATAAAACTACATAGCCAGGCATGTGGGCTCATATGTGTAATCCTAGCATTTTGGGAGGCTGAGGTGGGAGGATTGCTTGAGGCCAGAGTTTGAGACAAGCCTGTACAAGAGCAAGATGCTGTCTCTACAAAACATAGAAAAATTAGCTGGGTGTGGTAGTGCACACCCATAGTCCCAACTACTCGGGAGGCTGGGGCAGGAAAATCACTTGAGCCCAAGAGTTTGAGGTTGCAGTGAGCTATGATAAGACCATTGCACTTTAGCCCACACAACAGAGCAAGACTCTATTTCAATCAATCAATCAATAAATCTATATAGCATTTCCTGACCTTTTTCATTCAAGGAAATTTAAAATAAGGATTTTTTAATTATAAATTTATTTTTTAATTAGAAAAAATAAAGTTAGAGGGAAAAAATAACATTCGTGCAGAATCTTGACCCAAGCAAGAACTACTGTCAATTGCTATCCTCAATTTACTTTCAATTTTTAATAATAAACGTACTAAGAACAAACCTCTAAGTACAGCTGTACCCTCAAGGTTTTACTATGCAATATTCTTGTTTCTGTTATTTTTAAAATATAGCTGTTGTTGTAGTAATATCCACCTTGGCTAAATGGTTAGTTAGGAGAGTATTCTTTAATTCCCAGGTATTTGGTTCTAGTTATTTAATTTTTACTTTTGCAGACAGGGATTAGATCACAAGGCATGTGAAATTCCGGATTTTGATGTTTTTAATTATGACTTAACATATGATCAAATTTATAAGGGTAACATGATTACTTGAAAGTACAGAGAACTCTGATACTAATTTCTAATATACATATATGAATTCTACCTTAATATACTACTAAATCCAGTGTCTATCTTCTGCTCCCATCTTTTATATACAAAATAATGTTTAAAATCTCCTACCAGATTTATTTTACTCGGTTTCTTTTATTTCCTCCAGTTTTTCATTTATACTTATTTTCACTATACCTTAAGATTCATTGTCATGTCTTTACTATAGATATTTTCTAAATAAGGATTGCTTTTATTTGATCTACTTATTTTTTGAATACTTAATATTTTGTTCATATTCAACCAATAAATTGCCCAATCTTTAACCTAAGAATGAAATGACTAGAAAGTACACAAAGTATTTTTATTTCACTCATTTGTTCATTTATTTTAAGAGACAGGGTCTTGTTCTGTCACCATGGCTGGAGTGCAGTGGGGTGATCATAGTATACTACAGCCTCAAACACCTGGGCTCAAGCAATCCTTCCACTTCAGCCTCTTGAGCAGCTGGGACTAAAGGTTAAGAGCCATCATGCCCCACTTGGTACATTTATTTTTGGTAACATAAGAAACAAAGAGTTTTTATTCTAGAAGCAGGGTCTCGCTTTGTCACCCAGGCTGGAGCACAATGGTGCAATCATAGGTCACTGCAGCTTTGAACTCCTGGGCGAAAGCCTCCCTTCCAAGCAATCCTCCTGCCTCAGCCACCTGAGTAACTAGGACTACAGGCACCCACCACCACATTCGGCTAATTTTTCTTATTTTTGTTGAAGACAAGGGTCTTGATCTCCTGGCCTCAAGTGATCCTCCCAACTTTGGCCTTCCAAAGTGCTAGGATTACAGCCATGAGCCAGGAATAAAACGTGCGTGGCAGGAATAAAGAGTTAATTGCTATTACAAAATGCACCAACCCCCAAAATAGTAAAATTATTTACAGTAGTAAAGTATTATAAAACAGCTACCTAATCAAGAAAATGTTAGCACAACCACTTGAAACTACATTCTAAATCTAAGAAATTCACAGTAACCATGTCTAGAAAACTTTTTACTCATGTTACCTTTAAATGACATGAAAAACTGCTGAAAACTGACTTTAAAGTCGGAAAAAATTACCTTTTTATGATTAGAAACCCTTCTAAGATTATCCTCTTCAATGTGAGGGAGCTGCAGGAGGGGAGACTTAAATTGCTGAAGTCCTTGAACAGCCATCTGGGAAAGCTTCATGCAGTTTTCTAGGGATGCCAAAGTTGGAGCACGAAACTCCCTTTCTTAGAAAGAATAGGAAAATAAAACAACAGGGCTGCACTTTTTACGTGTTCAGGAGTATATATAAATCACTACAAAAACAAAACTGACACTAATATCCTCAACACCTCAAAATTTTAAGATCATGGTGATATTCCTTTAAAAGCTACCAGATAAGACACTAAAAATGTACTAACCTGGTCAAATGCCAATTTATCCAGCAACAATCATTGATTTAATAAAATGCTTTGCATCACATCCAGTAACAGTAAATTATAAGACATTATCAGTATCAAGAATATACTGACACCATGGCCAAGAACTGACATCACCCATAACAAACAAACCACAACCACTATCTCCTTTTTAAAGGGTTTTTCTTTCCATTACTGACCACAAATCCTGATTCTTTTCCTTTCACACAAAAAAACATTCCATGTCAGGTGAATCACTGTTATATCAGTTACAACATAATTTCATACTCACTGTTAAAAAACAGAATAACCTAACTCTAAAAATATTCAGAGGAAGAAAAAGGATATTTTAAGTCTTTGCAAAGCAAACAATAAATAATAAAAAAATTAAATTCAAAAACACAGCTGTGATAAAGACTTATACATAATAGGAAATAAAGAAAATAAATGAGAAAATCCACAAACAAAATTTAGGGAGCTGATTGAACTGGTAGATAAAATTACAGTAAGTACCCATAAATCTTAAAACTGTGAATTGTAATCTGCACATGCTTGCAAGAAAAAGTACAACGTAATTAATTATGTCTCCTCCTCACCTTCACGGCTCCGGGCCATTATTATTAGTTGGCAGATTACATTAACCATTTCTTGAAGTAGGGCAGGGCATTTTTTCAGCATAAATTGCTGATCTGCAAAACAACCAAAAACCTGAAACAAATCATTCTAATTTTATAGTTAAAGCATCTTTATCACCTGTAGCCCACAACTAATACTAAATTTAAGTTGTGCTACAAATATTTCATATGATCTCAGAATTTTCCAGGTTAAATGGAAGAGTTTCTTCTCAGCACCACTGTCTCAAAAATCAATGAGAAAACCCTAGTTCCTATTAGATGTTTCAAAGGCAAATTTTTAATATATGGTGTCAGGCTTAATAAATCAACTCCCATCTTTCTTTTAAAATGGTCTTCATCTTAAATTCAATCTTCATTTTGCTATATTTCAAAACTTTAAAAATGTTCTTCTAGTTCACTTAAGTTTCTATAGGTATATCTACAGATAAATCCAAAGACTAAGATTAAAAATAAATATCAACTAAATACACAACAGTAAGAGGAAGAGGACAACAGAGATAGGCTCTTTCATTTATACTGCAAATAACAGTTAACTATTAAGACCATCCACTGGGTTTGATACTCAACCTAAAAAACTTTGTTTCTTGATAACTGGTAAAAATGGAGATGGTTACAGAATTGTACAGAACATTGGCAAGAGAATCACTAGTTAACATTTCAAAGCAACTCCAATGACAATGCTGAAATAGTGCTCCTTCATTCCTTCATAAACATCCTATCTTACCACCAATTACTGAATATCAAGTGGCCTTATTTTCAAAGGCATTTGATTGCATTATCGGCTTAAAGGAGGTGGGGGATGGTAAGATTTCATTTAGAAAGAACATTTATTTCCTAAGGATCACTTTCTTTTCAAACTTCAATTGAAATAATGCAGGTGAAGAGATGACATCTCAAGCCACTGCTTTTAAGCAGAAGAGGGGACTTCAAGTACATATGGAGCTTTAAATAAACATAAAACAGACACTACTGGTAACCACTCTTGGAGGAGGACTAGTGAATGAAGGGGGTGGTTTATGTGAAATCCGTTTTTCTCTCCTCAAAAGCTTACAAAATCATTTTTTTTTTTTTTTTTTTTGAGACAGAGTCTCACTTTGTTCCCCAGGCTAGAGTGAGTGCCGTGGCGTCAGCCTAGCTCACAGCAACCTCAAACTCCTGGGCTCAAGCAATCCTCCTGCCTCAGCCTCCCAAGTAGCTGGGACTACAGGCATGTGCCACCATGCCCGGCTAATTTTTTTTTTTTCTATATTAGTTGGCCAATTAATTTCTTTCTATTTATAGTAGAGACGGGGTCTCGCTCTTGCTCAGGCTGGTCTCAAACTCCTGACCTCAAGCAATTCGCCCGCCTCGGCCTCCCAGAGAGCTAGGATTACAGGCTTGAGCCATCGCGCCCGGCCTACAAAATCATTTTTAAAAAAACTTTAGGAACTTTGTACAACCTGCAATTAACCGAACATTTCTCTTATAGAGCATTCTCTCACCTTGAAACACTAAATTTTAACATTTGCCAAAACATCTGACTTAGACCTTCAAACTATTTGTGCAGTAATTATGTGGCATATAGATTTCTTTTAAAAAGGTCCTTGAGCAATTATTTGATTGAGCAAAAAAGAACAGCGACAAAAACACTGCACCATGAGGTCTAATTAAATCCGTTGCTTTGGTCCCATTAAAACCTTGTAGATATCAGAATCACAAATACCTTCTTCAAGGGTCTCAGGAATTTTCATTCTAGCAAGATGAGAGAGTAAAAGAACTCTGGCCTTCAGGCTATATGGGCAGGTAAGTGGAGGCTCATTCTTCTTTAAATTAATGCTGCCAATTTCTCTGATTAGCTAGAGTAAATAAAATAATTATTTAAAAATATATATTAAAAAAGCATTCACTTTAATACTTAACTGTTCACCAAGGAATTTGGAAGATTGGCCTAACCTGTGGTATTAGAATATTATCTGTTGGTCTGCTTGTGGCATCTTTATTATACTGAGGATCAAATTCAGAAGCTCCAGCCAAAACCATAATGAGACCTAAGAAAACAAAAGAAATTCAAAGGTAAATAAATAAATTTGCTTATTATCTATTACTATTCTCTAAGATACGTCATTAATTTTAAGGTGAAACACTTTTCTAATAATGCACAATGCTAAAAATCATCTGAACTCCACTACTGATGAATATTAATTTCTCCCATAAATAACATCTCACTTTTTAAAGTATATTATTTATACCTATCACAAGTGAATAGAAATATACACCAAAGGCAACCAAAGCAACTGGAGGCCGGGCACAGTGGCTCACGCCTGTAATCCTAGCACTCTGGGAGGCCGAGGTGGGCGGATTGCTCGAGGTCAGGAGTTCGAAACCAGCCTCAAATAAAACAAACTTGAGGCCGGGCACAGTGGCTCATGCCTGTAATCCTAGCACTCTGGGAGGCCGAGGTGGGCGGACTGCTCCAGATCAGGAGTTCGAGACTAGCCTGAGCAAGAGTGAGACCCCTCAGGAGTTTGAGGTTGCTGTGAGCTAGGCTGACGCCACCGCACTCACTCTAGCCTGGGTAACAAAGGGAGACTCTGTCTCAAAAAAAAAAAAAAGCAACTGGAGGCATTAAAATCACTTAAAATAGCATTTGTTTCTAGACTGAGGCATGTGTTCCACAGAAACATTCTATAGAGCATTAATATATCATGTGATGTTAATAATTGTATAAAAAAAAGGCCCTATGGTTAAGTATGGCTGTAAATAATGGGTTAAACAGAGTTAAAGGTTTCTTTACTGCATGACTTCTCAGAGCCTTGGGTAAACTAAAATACATTAATTTCCAGAAAATTTTATTATGAAACCCAGGAGGGTTTTGTGGAAATACACGTAATTGGAACACAAGATTTGCAACCACATATATCTATTACCATATTCCCTGTTACCCTGTATAAGCTCTTTCAAGATTGGCACTATAGTTATTAATTGCATCATACAGCAGACAATATACATAATGTACTCACAAAAGGCAGGGCAGTATAGAGGTTGAGTGCATAGACCTTGGTATTTAAGGGCTCTAGCTAAATGACCTAAGACAATATTCTTTACTTCTTTTTTTGTTTTTATTTTTTGTAGAGATGGGAGTCTCACATGTTGCCCAGGCTGGTCTTGAACTGGTCTCAAGCAATCCTCCTACCTTGGCCTCCCAATGTACTGAGATGATAGGCATGAGTCACCATACCAGGCCTCTTCACTTCTCTCTCTGCACTCAGTCTCTTCACATGCACCTGACTCACAGCAAGCTCAGTACATGTGTGAGCTGTTACTATTACTAGCCTCAAATGTTTTCATGAAAACAACTGTTCCTAAGATAGACAGCTAACCTAACCAAGGATACGTAAACAAATCCACCAACTAAACAACATTTTCTGACAGAATTAACTGTGTAAGGCTAAGTACCACTCTCAGAAATGAAACTAATCGAGATCACTGAGACAAAAATACATCAAAGCATTATAAACATGAAACACTTCATAAGTGAATCAGTTTCTACATTAACATTTTAATCCTACATAAGGAAGTAATATGTACACATAAGGGAAATAATATTCACTCATTCCTCAGAAATATAAGAGCTGTTCACAGTCAAAATGATCCTGAGGAGTTTCTTTCTCATTACCAAGAGAATTAACAGAATTGCCAAATCCAAAATACAGAAAAGTCCATTTCAGTTTTGGAACAAAAATGCATTCTCCAGTGAGGCACAATTTAAAACTTACAATTTCTTTTTTTTAAAGGAGGGAGACGGAGGAATGTCTATGCTTTCTGCAGAGCAGTCATTCTGAAAGGCAACACTATGTATTCTAGAGATAAACTTTACAAAGTTAGTTTTATGTGATCAAAGAAAATGTTTAAAATTGTACTTTTTTTTTCTTAAGCAATTTTTAAATAGGATTCTGGGAATGAAATATTCCAGTTTTCTTTCAGCACACCCAAGAACTCTTTATTTTTTTTATTTTATTTTTTTTTTGAGACAGAGTCTCACTTTGTTGCCCAGGCTAGAGTGAGTGCCGTGGCGTCAGCCTAGCTCACAGCAACCTCAAACTCCTGGCTCAAGCAATCCTCCTGCCTCAGTCTCCCAAGTAGCTGGGACTACAGGCATTCGCCACCATGCCCAGCTAATTTTTTGTATATATTAGTTGGCCAATTAATTTTTTTCTATTTATAGTAGAGACGGGGTCTCGCTCTTGCTCAGGCTGGTTTCGAACTCCTGACCTGGAACAATCCGCCCGCCTCGGCCTCCCAGAGAGCTAGGATTACAGGCGTGAGCCACCGCGCCCGGCCTAAGAACTCTGTATTTTTATCATGATTAATACAGTGGTTTAATATTAACATAGTGGTTTAGGGCTCAGGAACCAGATTGCCTGGGTTCAATCCTGGAACTGTCACTTACTGTGTAGCCTCAGGCATGTTACTTTTCTGTGCCTCTGTTTCCTCATCTATAAGTTTTACTTAAAAAGCAGCACTTACTTACAGAGGCATAACAAAGATGAAATAAAGTTAATATAAGTACAGTCCCTAGAAGTGTTTGGCATACAATAGTATATGTTAGCTAATATTACTACAAAATTTGCAAACATAAAGCTCAACCATAACCATTCTGATGATATATACATATAATTGAGTAAGTAGGAATAATGGGAGTACAGATTAAGGTGTTGGCATTTTTCTCCAGCATCAGTTATATGAATTATCTATAAAACTGTAAAATGGGATTTCTCCATAGTTAAAGAATATATATATCAACTCTATGTAAGACCCAGGAAAGTAATGTGATTAATATCAATCACTGAAATTCACTTACGTTTCATATCCATATTTCGGGTTTTATAAACAAAGTATGTATAAATCTGTGTTGTGCGTATTAGAATCTGGTCTCCACTATAGCGTATTGAGCGATACCACCAAGAACCCTAAAACACAAATAAAATTAACCAAGAAATGAAGCATGAAAAGTACAATAAATGTTAACTTTGATGTAGAAATATGTTTATGGTCAAATCTTCTAAATATTTATGAGCCAATAAAAATACCTGAGCTTTAGAACAAATGTTTCTTTGTTACATATTTCAAATGATTTATTTAGATATTGTCTGAAGCCTAAATACCAATCTAAGTCATTGCATATATATGATTAAAATGTCTATATTTCAGGTAGAAATTTGTTGACAAAACAGGAATAAAACCACCCATTGTTATAAACAATAAACTGGTTCCTGACACATAGCATGTCTTTAATAAATATCTGCTAAATAAATGTATGAGTAATTTTACAGTTTATGTGGTATTTTCATTCACATTATTTCATATAACTGAATCTTCATGACAATCTCACAAAGAAGGCAAAACAGCTTGCTTATTAGGCTCATTATGGGACTCAGAGGAACTCCAGGAGCAGAAAAAGTCACAAAAGTAAAAAATGGTAAAAATCATACACTTTATGGTATCTCCATTAATATGGTGCTTTATAAAGCTGTTTTTTAAAGTAAAGATGCTCTGTTTGTTGTATCCCTAGTGTTTTAAGCCAGAAAAGTCAAAGAACATATAATAAAATCTCATTAAAGTTAAAAAAAAAATGTGTGTACATAAATACATAGAAAAAGATTTGAAAAATGCAACACCAAATTTAGCAGTGATTATCTGAGAGAAATGGAATTGAGGGAGGTGGTGTAGAAAGACTTTCATCTTAAATTCTAAATACATCTGTATCAACTCAGTTTTGTGTCACTTTTGGATTGGGAGGAAATATACATTAACATGCTCAAGTTACCTTTAGAAGACATTTTAAGGTGTAAATTCAAGGATCAATGGATTATATTCTAACACAAATTAAAATTTTATAGGGAGACTCCAAAACATGTGAATTCCTTTTCCAAAAAGTGTTAACAGAAGAGGTAGAACTTACCACAACAACTGGAAGGATAACCATAAATGCCAACCCATATACAAGTAAGACCTAGAATTGAAGAGGAAAAAATTATGGCCTTCATCAGGGAAATGATAACAATATCCATGAACATTTACTTTGAGGCTTATAATGGAGGCCACTATTAAAAGCACTCTTCATGCATTATCTTATTTAATCCTTATTCTCAAACTCTATGAGAAAGGTACCATTACTTTCCTTTGGTAGGTAGGGAACCTGAAGTACATATAGGTTACACAGCTTGTCCTAGGTCACACAGCTAGTAAGTGGTGAAGCCAAAATTTAAACCAAGGCAGTTCAGCTTTAGAGCCTATACTCATATCCACTATAATAAATTACCTTGTAATTTGTTATTTACTGACACAATATAGACAAGAGCAGCAATACATTTTCCTTCAAGTCAGGTACTTACTTATTCACAACCTGCAAGTATTCAGTGCCTTGGATATAAATGAGATAAGAAGCCCTTGGCTAAACTGATTCCTTTGCCCAAATATCAAGGAGCCACTGCATAATGTTCTGTTTGCTAATCATTTTTATCTATTGATTTTTTTTCCTACTGCTTGATCCTAAATTTGGTAGTAACTACTAATATCTCTTCTCTATTATTCCCACGGGAGTAACCCTAAGCATGACAAATATGTTTATATGCAGCAACTATATATCCCTAAGGATAACCAATTTTAATCTGCTATAAAATAACATTTAATAGCCACTTTCAAAACAAATTACAGTCAGACTGTGTGGATTTTGTTTTTATTGCTTTAAAGATAGCTCCTAGACAATTATTTTCAAGAAAGTCAAAAGATGAAGTAGCGAATTATCTGTTACTGTAAAGTAAGATGATTCTTGATGTTTTAGGGGGTTGCAACACCTATTACTGATTGAAGTTGATATCCTACTGCCTCCTAAAGTACCATATGGACTATTTACAATTTAATTTATCATACATTAAAATTAGTTTAGCCTGGGTAATGGTGAAAGGAAGGATAAATTAATTTTGAGTACTCCTTAGAATAAATGTAGATACCATAAAAACCAGTAGTTTCTGAAACCAAAGGTAGGATTCGATCTGAAACTACTTACTAAAGAAAAGAAATCGGGAGAGGAGGGATGGGTATATACAAACACAATGAGTGAGATGTGCACCGTTTGGGGGATGGTCACACTTGAAGCTCTGACTCAAGGGGGGAGGGGGAGTATGGGCAATATACGTAACCTTAACATTTGTACCCCCATAATACGCTGAAATTAAAAAAAAGAAAGGGGGGGAGGGGAGGGGAGGGGAGGGGAGGGGTGGGGAGGAAGAACAAGAACAAGAACAAGAACAAGAACAAGAACAAGAACAAGAACAAGAACAAGAACAAGAACAAGAACAAAAATCATCACAACTTTAAGGTTTTAAAACTACATTTAGAACACACTGCCCCAACACAGCAGCCTGATAATGGGCACCAGTTCTTTTCTCTGTTATGTAAAAAGTTTTCACAATACATAGTTAAATTAAAAATAGCATGCCAGCATTTTCTTTGTAATGGTTCTCTTTATATTATCAAGACACATATTATAAAACAAAAATTACAAATCATTATGTAAAAATTACAAATCATCAAATACATTATGTGTCTAACTTCAGTGCACTCACCAAAATTGAGTTTTTCTGGTCAACTATCCAAGCTGGCAGGGCAATTCCAAAGCTTGTGGCTGAAACAGAAAGAATATCAGAGTTTCTCAAGAGTCTCTACTTCCAGTTTTATTTATTTATATCCCAAAATGCCAACTTCCAAAAACACTTTAGAATAACATTAATGGGCCCCCATTACACAAAAGTTAAGAATATGGTTTATATCCAAAACTTCAAATTTTTCCAGATGGGGAAAAAGCCCTATGTTAAGTACATGAATTACTTCTTCAAAAAAACCTAAATTCTTTTGTATGTCCTGAGTTTATGAAAATATGAACATACGGGAAAATGTGTGAAGTCAGTAAAGAAAAGCAGATTTTTTTTTGCACCAAATTTTCATCAGCTGCTAACTGGAAATGATTAATGATAGTGATTACTCTTTTCCCTGAATCAATCTAATTTCTATATCCCAAACTAGTCTTTAGAAAGAAAAATAAAGTAAAATGTAATTAATGGGTGCTAAATTAAACTCATTGTGATTGTCAGTTTCCTATTCATAAGCTAAAAAAAAAATCAAACTATTCCTTTTAGACTAATTAACTTTTGAATACTATATACCATATCACCAATATTTTTAAATCATCATTTATCACACCTTGAGGCCCATCTGGATTTCCAAATTCTTCCCAATTTTTCCGAGACTCTTCATCAGTTAAACTAGAATCAAAAGAACAAAGTTGCAAAATTAGAAAGCCACACCTGAAGAGTAAGTATTCATATAGACAAACTCCATTAACCAACCAACTCATTTCTTAAAAGATACTGACTGAGTGAATCAAGAAAAGTCTCTCTGAAATCGCAAAAAAAGTGTGAGAGAGGAGCAAGGAATGCTACATTAATTGAAAATACTATTATCCCTTAATACAATTCCTGGTTGGCCCAGGATTCTCGAGTTCCGCCAATTCAATCAGATGAAACTTTTAAAGGCCACTAAATTTTCTGAGAAGGCAGGGAGGATTATAGGTGATTTTTATTATTTTCCTTATACTCTCATAATTTCCAAAATTTCTTCAAAGAGCATGTTTATACATTAACAATAAATACATGTTTTTAAAACATATAAATTTAATACATAATGGTAGCTCCCTATAAAACACTGGCATTACTTTCTCAAAGAAACAAACCAATACTACCTGTAAAACTCTGAAACTCTACTGCTATAAAAAAGGGTCTTTTGCATTGTACTGAAATCATAATTTCCAGCTTCTCAACCCAGGCAATATAAAAGTGCCAGAGTGATATTTTTATACACCTAAATATAAATGTAACCTCTGCCTTGGACAACGGCTCAAGGCGCAGAGTTAGAATGGTTTTATTCCAGGTCCCGGTGAAAATGTTAAAAAGCATTAAAAGAAATTCTCAATTTCTTCAAAAACTTTACAATGTAGTTAAGACAAGGCAGGCCCACAAAGAAAATGACCAATAATATAAAAAGGCATTCTTGGAGACCAATTGGCAAAGGATTACTTATGGTTCAAATCTAATTTTAGCCATATTTCTATTTCCCAAAACAATAGGTAATGTAGTTTCTATTCAACAAAAATCCAAATGGAGACAGGCAACATAGAAATACCTTTATAAAACAGCAAGAAGGACACTCATTGATTTTCAATGACTGGAAAATGTTCTTAAACTTATCAATTTAGTCACTTATGAAAACAAGTGCCTTGGTATCTTTAGTCCTTATTTAACTATAACTCCACTCACACCATTTAATATAAGGTCACAGAAAACTACAGGAGCCAATGAAAAACACTACTAGACAGGTTTGCAAGTTAGTAAGCAAAGGTGCTAAGATTTCTTTTCTATTAAAGGAGAGATGTTTCTCAAAAAAATTTGCTCTGGTTTACCTGTACAATTGCTCACCCAACACAGAGCTTTAGCTATTGTTTCTCTCAATATTCTGTCTTCTAAACAGATCTTTTTCCCCAAAATAATTATCTCTGTCCCCGTCTTTGTGATTATTGCAGCACCAACAAACTGCTCTGTTCTCTATACATGTTCCCAGAATTTGCAAAATAAGGCACAGCTCAAATCATAAAAACACTGGTTTTGCAACCTATCTACACACATCTGGTTACAATTACATTAATTCACTTATTAAATAGACTTGTATGATTGCTGTATGACATGCCTGTCATATAATTGGATACTCAATCAAATTAAAGAAGTCAGTAATTTTCTTAAAGTCAGTTTTTAGAGTCAGTTTAAGAAAGCAAATGATTTTTTGCTACTTATTCGTATTTCACTGTAATACCATTCTTAAAAGTTAAAATACTTAAAAGCCATATGATTTCAGTATAATTCATATATAATAAGCTTAAACAAGATCAATGATACAAATAGAATTTTTAAAAATTCACTGAGTGTAGTTTCCTAAACACATGATTATATCCCTTAACTTTGGGGAAGTAAGGGAGAAGAGGATTATGATCCTATTAAAAATCTAACAAAATCTATATCCCCTTTGCCCTGGAAAAAATGTATACTACAAAGACACATAAATTCTATATAAAATTTTAGTGACCCCAGATTATAAATTCTGATCTGGAGAATCCTTTCACTAAATTATATGTGAGTGACCATGAGTTGGCTATATAGAGTTAAATTACATATTTATGTGTAGGATCACATGAAAACACATGCTTTTATAAAAATTAAAATATCTTGGCCAGGCACGGTGGCTCACGCCTGTAATCCTAGCACTCTGGGAGGCCGAGGAGGGTGGATTGCTTAAAGTCAGGAGTTCAAAACTAGCCTGAGCAAGAGTGAGATCCTGTCTTTCCTAAAAATAGAAAGAAATTAATTGGCCAACTAAAAATATATAGAAAAAATTATTCTACTTCATCTAGTTTCTACACAAAAAAAAAAAAAAAAAAAAAAAAAAAATTAGCCAGGCATAGTGGCACATGCCTGTAGTCCCAGCTACTCAGGAGGCTGAGGCAGGAGGATCCCTTGAGCCCAGGAGTTTGAAGTTGCTGTGAGTAGGATGACACCACGGCACTCTAGCCCGGGCAACAGAGTGAGTACTCTGTCTCAAAAAAAAAAAAAAAATTATCTTTAAAGGAATAATTATGCTGCCCGTGTGCTATAAAGCAGCTTAAAGACAGATTTTACACCTGAAAGCCAAATCTCAACTGTATCTAGATGGATGAACCAGAGAATTCAATGGTCTAATTCCTCAAAAATAACCATACTTTCTTTCCTCTAAGTTAGAATCTGATGAAAAAAGAGTAATGGTCCAGCTGGTGTATTATAATAGGCAATTAAGGGTAGAGAAAATTCCTAAATAACCAAAGCAAATTCTAAAAGCATTATAGAACAAAGCCTATAAAACTGCATTCCAAAGGTTGCTTTAGTTATACTGAGGCTGCTAGAGATACTGATAAGACAGAAGCTTCAATTCAATCACTTAGAACTTAACATTTAGTAAAATACACATCTTTGTCTAATTTAGTTATACTTGTGTAAATTACAAAATCTCAAAGTTCTGGGTCCCAAAATCATTTCACTTTTTCATTGGTCTTGTAGGACAACAACTATTTACATCATTTAATATATAAAATATTCTATAGGCCAGGCACGGTGGCTCACACCTGTAATCCTAGCACTCTGGAAGCCTGAGTGGCGGGCAGGAGGATTACTTGAGCCCAGGAGTTTGAGGTTGCAGTGTGCTGTGATGATGCCACTGCACTCTACCCAGGGTGACAGAGTGAGACTCTGCCACAAAAAAATAATAAAATATATTATAGCTTGATCATGTAACTGAGTTAAAACTAAAGGCCTTATACTATTATTCTGCATATTTTAGAATAGTAACCAAACACCATAAAGAGTCAGATTCCCAGCAACCTGAGTACAAAATCATAAACCTGAAAATGTTAGAACAACCTAAAGACTGAGGGAGAAAAAAATTTTACCGAAAGCACTAAAATTAAAGCTACTAATTAAATAATCTTGGCTGTCTGACATCCTCTGGAAATCTCCTGCTCTTCTTAAATTACCTGAAGACAGCAATTAAGGCACACCAATATTTGTGCAAAGAGAGTAAATGCTTGAAGGAGACACATTGAAAAAGGGGGAAAGGAGACATAACTGAAAAAGAGCAATCTGGAGGACGTCTACCTGCTATGCAGAAAATGTAGTGCACCCTTCAGAAGTCCTAATGGCATTGCTTTATTACAGAATCATAACACAAAATCAACTTCTAAGTGTTCAAGTGAAAAGAAGAGTCTACATCTCTCACTTTTCAATCAAAAGCAAGAAATTATTAAGTTTTGCGAGGAAAGCATGTCAAAAGCCAGGACAAGCCAAAAGCTAGTCCTCTAGAGCCAGTTACTCAAACTGTGAATGCAAAGGAAGAGTTCTTGAAATTAATTAAAAGTGCTATTCTAGTGAAGACATGAATGATAAGAAAGCAAATCTGCATTATTGCTAATATGGACAAAGTTTGAGCAGTCAGGATAAGAGATCAAACCAGGCACAACATTCCCTGAAGTCAAAGCCTGACCCTAACTTGCTTCAATTCTATGAAAGCTGAGTGAGGTGAGGAAGCTGCAAAAAAGTTTGAAGCTAGCAGGGGTAGGTTCATGATATTTAAGGAAACAGGCCACCTCCATAACATAAAAGAACAAGGTGAAGCACCAAGTACTGCTGAAGAAGCTACAAGTTATCCAGATCTGGCTAAGATGACTGATAAAGGTGGCAACACTAAACAACAGATCTTCAGTGTAGATGAAACAGCCTTATATTGGAAGAAGATGTCATCTAGGACTTTCATAGCTAGAGAGGATAAGTCAATGTCCGGCTTTAAAGCTTCAAAGGTAAGGCTAACTCTCTTGTTAGGGTGAATGAAGCTGGTGACTTTCAGCTGAAGGCAACACTTATTTACCATTCTGAAATCCTAGGGCACTTACGAATTAGGCTAAATATCTTCTGCCTGTGCTCTATAAATGGAACAACAAAGCCTGGATGACAGCACATCTATTTACAGCATGGTTTACTGTCTATTTTAAGCCCACTGTTGAGAATTACTGCTCAGAAAAAAAGAATTTCAAAAGATTACTGCTTATTGACAATGCACCTGGTCACCCAAGAGATCTGATGGAGATGTACAAGGAGATTAATGTTTCTTTAATGCCTGTAATACAACATCCATTCTGCAGTCCATGTGTCAAAAAAAAATTTCAACTTTCAAGTCATATTATTTAAGAAACATATTTTGTAAGGCTATAGGTGCCATAGACAGTGATTCCTCTGGTGGATTTGGACAAAGTAAATTCAAAACCTTCTGGAAAGGATTCACCATTCTAGGAGATATTTTGAACTTTTCGCATGATTCATGAGAATTCTTAATTCTTACTCAGACGACTAAGAATACTCATGATTCATAGGAGGAGTTCAAAATATCAACATCAAGCCAGGCACAGTGGCTCATGCCTGTTACCCCAGAACTTTGGGAGGCCAAGGTGGGAGTTCAAGACCAGCCTAGTCAACATAGCAAGACCTAGTTTCTACAAAAAAAAATTTTTAATTAGCCAAGCATAGTGGCATGTCCCTGTAGTCCCAGCTACTCTGCAGGCTGAGACAGAAAGATCCCTTGAACCTACATGGTTGAGGTTGCAGGGAGCTATGACTGGGCCATTGCACTCCTGGCTGTGGGGTGGAGTGAGACCCTGTCTCTTAAAAAAAAAAAATCAACATTAACAGATGTTTGGAAAAAGTTGATTCCAACTCTCATGGATGACTTTGAGGGGTTCAAAACTGCAGTGGAGGAAGGCCCTGCAGATGTGGTGGAAACAGCAGGAGAACTAGAATTAGAAGTGGAGCCTGAAGATAGGACTGAATTACTGCAATCTCATGATCAAACTTGAATAGATGATGAGTTACTTCTTGTGGATGAAAAAAGAAAGTGGTTTCTTGAGATAGCATCTATTCCTGGCAAAGATGCTGTGAACATTGTTGAAAGGGCAACAAAGGATTTAGAATAGTCCATAAACTAGTTGATAAAGCAGTTACAGGGTTTGAGAGGATTGACTTCAATTACGAAAGAAATTCTACTGTGGGTAAAAGGCTATCGAACAGTACTGCATGCTGCAGAGAAATCTTTTGTGAAAGGAAGAGTCAATTGATGCAGCAAACTTCAATGTTGTCTCATTTTTAAAAATTGTCAGCCGGGCGCGGTGGCTCACGCCTGTAATCCTAGCACTCTGGGAGGCCAAGGTGGGCGGACTGCTCGAGGTCAGGAGTTCAAAACCAGCCTGAGCAAGAGCAAGACCCCGTCTCTACTATAAATAGAAAGAAATTAACTGGCTAACTAATATATATAGAAAAAATTAGCCGGGTATGGTGGCGCATCCCTGTAGTCCCAGCTACTTGGGAGGCTGAGGCAGCAGGATTGCTTGAGCCCAGGAGTCTGAGGTTGCTGTGAGCTAGGTTGACGCCATGGCACTCACTCTAGCTTGGGCAACAAATCGAGACTCTGTCTCAAAAAAAGAAAAAAAAAAAGGAGAACTTAACAATCTGTATCTCAACAAGTATAGTAATTAACAATATAGTAACTAGGAATAATCTAGTACAAAGAAATTCTAAAAAGAAAGAGACCAAAAATGAAAAACTTCAAAATAAAAATTAAACTTGTCTTTAAATAGTTTAAATGAGATAAGCCATAAGGCAAAATAAGAAAAATAGATCAAAACTAATAAAAAAACCTATAAATAAAAACAAGGTCTAAGTTCTTATAATCAGGATGCTAATAAAATAGCTCAATTAACTTACCACTCACTACTTAATTTAGCCAAGTTCACATGGCAAAAGCACTACCCTAAGTGTCAACTCTTCATTACTTAAAAATGAAGGTTTAATTAAATTGCCACTTTAGAGCTGCTGGGCAGTTCCATATGAGTTCAGTTTAAGTGTATGACAACTATATTTTACTATTTTATTAAAATAGAAAACCATCTTTACCACTCTTAAAAATCTGTAATGGGTCCTATGATACTTACGCTGCATAAGCTTTTGCTATCCTCATGAACATGACTTCATCACCTCCTTTATCTGGATGATATTTAAGTGACAGCAAACGATACTGTTTCTTAATTTCTGCTACTGTTGCCCCCTAAAAGGAAAGCTTTGTATTAGTAAGTGCAATTCTGTAAAGAAATAAATAGATTCTACATTAAACTTAAAACATGAGCTTCCCAGTATTCCAAGAAAGAGAAAATGAAGTTTTCATCCTGTATTTTGTCCCATAAATTTCATCCCATGTATTTTATAAAAATACACTTATATTGTCCAATATATTTATTTTATTAAGCACCTACTATGTGCCATGCAGTACACTAGGCACTGATTTGAAAGTGAAACCACATAATGCCACATTTAAATATTAGGTTATTAAGTATGGAACGTGCAATTTCCTTAAGTACTAAGTTTGACAGTTGATATCTGACATTTCACTTTGACATATTTTATTTGCTTTTTTGTTTAATTGTAAAGGTACATATTCATTCTTTCAAATGAATGTTTTGGCTTGTGATTATCTTTCAAATTTTTTACAGCAATTTTTGTGCAATCATGGATAAGTCAGAAATTCGTGTTATTTTTTAATATGAGTTCCATTGTGTAACCAATGCAGAAGATAGCTCAAAACATCAACGAAGTGTTTGGAAGGATGTGGCTAATGAACACACAGTACGTCAAAGGTTTGAAAAGTTCCATTCTAGTGATTTTAATCTTGAAAATGAGCCACAAGGGTGATCTGAGACCACAGTGGATAATGATGAGCTGAAAGCTGTAGTGGAAAGGAATCCATCTCAACCTAAGCGTGAATTAGCAGCAAGGTTTGATGTTACTATCCCAACAATATTGGACCATTTGAAACAAACAAGCAAAGTAAAGAAGCTGGATAGAGTTCTGCATGAATGAAATGACCATAAGAAGAGAAATCATCTTGAAGTTTGTCTTTTTTTGCTGTCATGACATAAAGTCAAACCATTTCTACTACGTGTGATGAAAATGGATTATTTACGACAAGCGCAAGCATTCAGCACAATGGTTGGATAAAGATGAAGTGCCAAAACACAGTCCAAAACCAAATATTCATCAAAAACAGCTAACAGTGTCTGTTTAGTGATCCAGCGTTGTATTATCCACTACAGCTTCGCGAAACCTGGTCAATAGATTACAGCAGATGTCTACTGCAAACAACTGGATGAAATGATGAGGATGCTTGCAATTAAGCAGCCGATATTAGTCAACAGAGACAGACCAATCCTCTTGCAAGACCACGTCACAAAAAACAATTCTGCTTCAATTACAGAAGCTGGACTTGGAAACTCTCTGTCATCCATCGTATTCACCAGACCTTGCATCAACTGACTACCATTTCTTTCAGGCTTTGAACCACTAAGAAGTGAAAGGAAAAGAAAAATACTCAATTCTCAATAAGCTGTAGAAAACACCTTTGGCACTTTCATTGCCACTTGCTCTCCAGGATTCTTCACTGCTGGCATAAACAAGCTACCATTAAGATGGCAAAACTGTGTCAAAAGTTTAGGCGCATATTTTGATTAATTGTACTACTTCTTATTTGAGATATAATAAACTAAGTTTCTGATTCAAAATCTGACATTTCATATTTAATGACCTAATAAAAAAAATAGACATTTAAATATCAAAAAATATCACAATAAATTAAGTCTAGCTCAAAGAACCCTCAAATCAAAGGTTAACTGTCTAAGGAATACTTAAGGTTTTAGCTGCTTATCTATTCTACTATTAAGTAAACATTTAGTAAGTTGATCTTAAATGTTTCTTAATTAGTCTCAACTTCTATTTCTTTTTTTAATCAGGCAGCTCCTTGAACCAGAAGAGGTTCAAGGAGATTCTTTCCATTTCTATTAATTTTTTGATACTGCTTTTTATTACCTTTTTAATCTTAGAAAATCTCTCTCAATGACCATGACCATAGCAATAAGAAAAATCACATAATATGCAAACTTTTCTTCTACAAAGCAGAAAACTAGCTGATATACACTCTCCTTACTTTGTATCACATGAATGTCTGGATCAAGCCATCTACTAAGCAGAGACTCAAAGTAAAAGAAAGTGATTGGGGAGGGTGGGGAATAGAAAGAGCACTGGATTCAGCTTGGCTACTGACAAACGGGGGACCCCACACAAGACACAAATTTTCTAAGCCTCATTTTTTCTCTTATTTAAAAAAAAAAAAGCCTAGAAAATGTCCACTATTAATTTCAGTTTTAACATTCTACTGATATACTAATTTTCTATTAGGATCCATTAATCAAGTTCAATCAGATCACCTAAGGGGCACAACTCAGAAATTAATCTGAATTACTGTGACAATGACATTAGTTCTTTATAAACCCCCAACACAGATACAACACACTATCTTTTTTTTTCCTTGAAAGCAGTCTCTGTCACCCAAGCTGGAGTGCAATGGTGCAATCATAGCTTGCTGCAGCCTCAAACTCCCAAGTTCTAAAATGATACTCCTGCATCTGGTTCCTAAATAGCTGGGACTATAGGCAAACACCACCATGCCCAGCGAATTTTTTTCTTTTCTTTTCTTTTTTTGTTTTAAAGAGACAAGGTCTTACTATATTGCCCAGGCTGGTCTCGAACTCCTGGACTCAAGTGATCTTCCCACCTCAGTCTCTCGAGTTGCTGAGATTATAGGCATGAGCCATTGCACCCAGCCCAATTCTTAGTAATATGACAATCAACAGCTATAGCTTAAAAACAAATACATTAGAATGATAATGGATTAGGTATCTTTATTTTAATAAAAAATTTAACTGACCAAAGTCTGATTTTTTTGGCATATCACAACATTTTTTAGGATGTGGACCTATAATGTTTTCATTGAATCATTAAACTAATGTGCATTATATAAAAATATTACTTACAGGATCCAAATTTAATACTTCATAAGGATTGTATTCTTGATATTCTCGGTCTGTTTTGGAAACCTTGTATGCAAGGAATAAGAACAATGCCCATCCTGCAAGCAGAACTATTTTCCTGTTTAAAAAAAAAGATAAATGAATTATAAGTAAATACAACTGTATGGTTTTCCTTTAAGAGTTTAAAGATATTATGGCAAGATCAATGAATAAAATAATCTAGGGTAGGTCCTTACCACTATGCTATTAACTCAAATTCTACAATCACTGAATGTAAACTCCTGTTACAAGGATAGTGTCTTCTTCACCTCTGAATTCCTTAGAGTCTAGTACAATGCCTTGCACATAATAGATCTTCTCACAATTGCTATCTGCATAATTTTAAATATAGGAGTGAATTCAACTTATTAACTTATCCAACCCATTAAATTTGATCAAAATATATAAAGTATTCAGTAAACATTTAATATAAAAGAGAATTGCTTTGACCTAGCGATTACGCTTTTAATAAGATAAACTAAGAAAAAAATTGGTCAATTATGCAAAGATAAATAAATAACCTTGTTGATAATACAACTTTGTAAACAACCTAAATGTCAAATTATAAGGAACTAATTAAATAAACCATTTTTAGGGGACTAAATTAAATAAACCATGATGCAGCCACACAATGCAAGATTTTATAGCCAATACAGACACAGAAAGATGAGTGTAATAGCTTAAAAAAAAGATATAAAAGGACATATAATGTGAAAATGAACTAGTTTCTTCTCTCTTCAATATGTTCTGTTTAACAAAAATAAAAGGGTGATATTACCAGTGTTGGAGAGGCTAAAGAAAAAGGAACTCTCATACACATCACACTCTGAAGGAGTATCTGGCAATACGGTATTAAAAGTCCTAAAGAAGTACATGCCCTTTTTTCTTCAATACATTCCATTTCAAATAATTTAGAAGGAAATAAATTAGAATTAAGTATATAAAGCATAAAAAAGTGGTTACAGAGATGTAAATAATAGCCTTAAAAAAACAAATATCTATCAACAGATTAATGGACAAATAAACTAATAGTACATCTATATAGTTAAATACTCTCTAGCCACTAATAATATTTGTTGTGGATGACTGCCTACCTTGTATTGCTAAGTTTATAAAAGAAGAACAGCTTTCAAAGCTGTACATATATAACATAATCCAATTTTGTGAATAAAAATGTATGTAGAGGCCAGGCGTGGTGGCTCAAGTGAGCCTGTAATCCTAGCACTCTGGGAGGCCGAGGCGGGCGGATTGCTCAAGGTCAGGAGTTCGAAACCAGCCTGAGCAAGAGTGAGACCCCGTCTCTACTATAAATATAAAGAAATTAATTGGCCAACTAATATATATAGAAAAAAATTAGCCGGGCATGGCGGCGCATGCCTGTAGTCCCAGCTACTCGGGAGGCTGAGGCAGGAGGATTGCTTGAGCCCAGGAGTTTGAGGTTGCTGTGAGCTAGGCTGATGCTACGGCACTCAGCTCTAGCCTGTGCAACAAAGCGAGACTCTATCGCAAAAAAAAAAAAAAAAAAAAAGTATGTAGAGTAATCATCTTAATAATGGCTAGCTTTAGGTGATAAGTTGAATGACTTTTTTTATACCCTTTATATAACAATTTGTTACACTGAGCAGGAACTGTTAGACAAAGACATAAAATAAATCATAGGCCAAATCAAACAAAATTGGAATGACCTGTTCTTAAAGAAGAAAATCTCATCTCCCAATGTTTCCTAAGTTTTTCCAACCATCATGCTTTTTGCTCTCTTAGATCCTTCTACCTAGAATCCCCGTTCTTTATCTCTGCCATACAAACCCTATTCATCACTTAAATAATCCATCCTCCATAAACCAATCCTTAACCCTTGCCAAGATTATCAACAAGAGAGAATGGTTGCAGCCACAAAGAAGCACAAATCATGACTTTCCTCCTCTGACTCATTCTAAGTTCCTTGAGCATGTGGACAGATCTTATTCAGTTTTGACTAACCCCACAGTAGCTTGAACACAGCTGACATTCAAGCAAATTTCTTTCCACTAGGCCAAAATAATTCTAACCCTTGTTAAGGGCATATAACTTCAAGCTGCTTTCCATAACATCTATGTGCCCATCTATGTCCAAAAAGGAGACATATCCCTACGTGGAAACGCCACGACTTTTGCCTGGCTATCTAGTGACAGGCAGTTGAGAAGATAGGCTCCAGAACAAAACTACATGAGTTCAACTCCCAGCTTTACCATTTATTAACTGAGAGACCCTGGCATATTGTTTAACTTTTTTTTTTAAGAGGCAGAGTCTCCCTGTTGCCCAGGCTAGAGTGCATCGGCATCATCATAGGTCACTGCTAACCTCCTGGGCTCAAGCCAGTAGTAGATAGGACTACAGGTGCACGCCACCTCATCCAGCTTTTTTTTTTTTTTTTGAGACAAAGTCTCCCTTTGTTGCCTGGGCTAGAGTGCCATGGCGTCAGCCTAGCTCACAGAAACCTCAAACTCCTGAGCTCAAGCAATTCTTCTGCCTCAGCCTCCCAAGTAGCTGGGACTACAGGCATGCGCCACCATGCCCAGCTAATTTTTTCTCTATATATTTTTAGTTGGCCAATTAATGATATTTTTTTTCTATTTTTAGTAGAGATGGGGTCTTGCTCTTGCTCAGGCTGGTTTTGAACTCCTGACCTTGAGCAATCCTCCCGCCTCGGCCTCCCAGACTGCTAGGATTACAGGCGTGAGCCACCACACCCAGCCCAATTAATTTTTTTTTTATTTTGCTCAGGCTGGTCTTGAACTCCTGAGCTCAAGCAATGCTCCTGCCTTGGCCTCCTAAAGTGCTAGTATTACAGGTGTGGGTCACCAAGCACGGCATCAAGTTGCTTAACCTTTTACACCTCCAACTTTCAGTGTGGATGTGAAAATTAAATGAGATTAGGTATATAAAGTATTTAGAAGATGCCTAACAGATAGCAGACAATCAATTCACATGAGCTACGCACTGTTATTAGAAGTTCTTACCCATATCTCAGCTCTCACCTTAGACCTCACTTAACTCAGGGAAGCTTTCTGTCTTGGGCCAATTAGGAGATCTCACCCTGCTTTTTCATGGTACTGCTCTCCCAGCCCTTACTAATAATTCTATTATCATGACCTGTTTCCTTGCCAGTATCCCCCAAGATTGCAAGTCATCGAACCATGTCTATTTTGTTAATCAGTATATCCAGCAACTAGTCATGATATCTGACACACAGTAAGCACACAATAACTACTTGTTGAATAAATAATAAAGACAATTAAAACTGTGAACTTTTAACTCAAACCCAAGGTTTCTAATACCTTCACATTTTGTTTTGCCGACTCTCCCAACAGACTAACAAAGCTCACAAAACAAAGATAAAAATACAACTGCAAACTACAAAAGCAAGATTTAAAACCAAACAAGGGAAAGAAAACAAAACACCTAGGATATGCTAGACCCTATATCAGATGTTTTACATGCAGCACCTGACTCTCTGAGCCAAGAAATGAAGGAAAGAAAGGATCAGGACCAAATCCCCAGGCCAATGAAAATTACCGCAACCAATAAAACTATGATCTAGTTTTCTGAGAGTCAAAGCAAAGGTGAAAACAGAATGGACTACATCATGCTCTGTGCTCAATTTTTTAAAAGCATATTTGGTTCCTCTAAAATAAGCATTTTCCCTGCACACAGCTTCAGTAATTAACTTGTGAGGTCTTGCATTTATTCTTTAAGCATATTTTAAATGTCATTTTGGAAGCAACTTCTAGAAATTACACACCTTAATTTCAGGGATGCTGTCAGAGGGAAGCATTACATAAGAACTGACCAACTGACCAGCCAACCAACTGATTATTTTGAAAGAACATTTCAGGATTAAGTATCAAAAAAATTTTAATGGCTTCTGGCCTTATCTAAATTGTTACCAGTATCTACTTAATCTTCCTTACTTAAACATCCCTTAATCTGCACTTTAAGTAAATCACTTTATTAATAACTGAAAAGAACTTCACAAAGCTTTTATTTTTCTTGAAAACTGAGGTTTAGATACGCACAAAGTGTTGAAGAAAGCCAGAACAAAGACTCAGAGGTCAAAAATACAGTTGTTTCTCAGTACCCTCAGGAGATTGGTTCCAGGACCCCACAGATACCCAAAATCTGCAGATGCTTAAGTCCCCATAGGAAATAGTGTAGTATTTGCACATAACCTTCTCATATTCTCCTGTATACTTTAAATCATCTATAGATAACTTACAATACCTAAAACAATGTAAATGCTATGCAAATAATTGTTATACTGTATTTTTTATATATATTATTTATCATTGTATTGGTTTTTGTCCCCAAAATATTTGTGAGACACAGTTGGTTGAATATGCTTACGTACAACCCATGAATATGGAGAACAGATTGTATTTGTCTCACTGCTTCATGAAAATTTAATTTAAAATGAGAACCAACAACAAAGAAAAAACAGAAAATATAAAACTACTCTCATCAAGACTGACTTTGCCTATATTTTCACATCATTAAAGAACTCTTGGACAGGCAAGGTGGCTCACACCTGTAATCCTAGCATTTTGGGAGGCCGAGGCAGGTGGATTGTTTGAGCTCAGGAGTTTGAGACCAGCCTAAGCAAGAGCAAGACCTCATCTCTACTAAAAAAATAGAAAGAAATTAGATGGACAACTAAAAAGTATATACATATATAAAGATTAGCTGGGAATGGTGGTGCATGCCTGTAATCCCAGCTACTCGGGAGGCTGAGGCAGGAGGATCCCTCGAGTCCAGGATTTAAGGTTGTTGTGAGCTAGGCTGATGCCATGGCACTCTAGCCTGGGCAAGAGAGTGAGACTTTGTCTCAAAAACATAAAACAATAAAAACTCTTAATACCAGAGGTAAACTTCCCCTCCCCATACAAAGGAACTAACTAGGCAAAGTCAAACCTCACAAAGAAAAACTATTTAAACCCCCTGAAATCACACAGCTATGCTGAAAACTATCATCACTTAAACTAAGATTTAAAAATAACTGGTTCTACTCTTACTAATCTTCTTTGCTAGGTCTTCTCTTCCTATCTATTCAATAGATAAATGTAGGTAATTCACAAGATATAGTTATCCAATAATGGCAACTCTCTCACCTCCTATCACAGTTTCATCTATTACCTCTAAGTTGATGGCTTCATGTAAAGGTCCAAAGCCTCTTAACCAGCATGCTCCATAGCCTCACAAAATCAAACAGGCCTGCCTGCTCTAATTAAACATACTAATGGCCTGTTTAAGCAGTTGGGCCTGCCAATACAAAGGGTGACTAGGTTCCTATTCCACTACTTTTAGCTACATGATCTTGGTCAAGTTACCTCATTTTCTTAGCCTCAGTTTCCTCATCTGAGAAAAAGCCCAAACATATACTTTGAAGTTAATATAAAATTAAATTAGATAACACATAAACTCTTAGCATAGAACCTGGTACACAGTAAGTGTTCAATCAACTTTAAGTATCACCATGAATTTTACAAACTTGACCATGTCACTTCCCTACTTTTGAAATCTTTTATAGATTCCCCAATACTCATTAAGATAATATTCAAATTCTGACACAGGTCTTACTTCAAGATTTGACTTACTGCTCTCCTCCTTCCCCCAGTCAGAAGTATACTCTCCTTCCTTTGAACTTCTAAACCACTTTTCAGACAGCTCTCAAATTTACTAATTATATCTTACTCCTACTACATACAGGCTACAATTTCTTTACAGACACACATCTTACTCATTTTACCCACATTTTGTATGACACCTTGCAAAGAATAAGCACTAAATATGTTTTTTATTGGAATTCATTACTTACTTTACTGTAGGAATAATATTTGGCTGGGGTTTTAATAACCGTAAACGATACCACATGCATCTTCCATATACTTTTCTGATATTCTTTAATCGAATTTGCTCTGTCAAAAAAGAAAAATAAGATAAATTAAACCATTTTTCACAGTGAAGGTAAAACCCATTAATATCATAATAACCTTCAATACCATGCTAATAATTTATTGGAACATGAAAGTACTGCCTATTCAAATAACCTTTAAAAAACTTTACAAGATAGGTTAAATTTTCTGTCATTTAGAACAAATCACCTATCTGGAAAACTTCATTTTTCATGTGACTTAACTCATTGAAAATGTAAAAACTGACTTGCACCCAAAACATTTAGTCATATATGATCAGTAATTTCTGAGAAATTCTTTCCCCCTTTCCCTTCCACTGAAGAAGAAACAAAAAGCATAAAACAGTTAAAACATGATTATTAAGAAAGCTAAGCAGAAATGATACTCTTCAAACATAAAAATAATTGCCCATCAAAATATCTTCTAACAACAAAGTTTAGTTAGGTCTTATCTATTTAAGATATAAAACTACCATGTTTCCCCGAAAATAAGACAAAGTCTTATATTTATTTTTCCTCAAGAAGACACCCGAGGGCTTATTTTCAGGGGATGTGTTATTCTCTCTGGGCTCAGTAGGAGACTGCTTGCTGAAGCTTTTCCCCTATCCCCTGGTGTTTGGGGGGTGTGAGAGAGGCCCAGAGTGCCCAGAGTAAAATGGCAGCCACAGCTTTCCTTCTTCCCCCTGGGGACACACAATACCTAAAGCAGAGCATCCCACTCCTCACTTCACTGAGGCAACTTTCCCATCAAAGCCTCAGCTTGCAGCACACACAGGATGGCTGGGACCTGATGGAGGAGCCGACCTTGTTGGTGTGGCTGCTCGTACCTTTCCAGTCACCTCTGGGATAGTAGCTGGGATAGAGCTCTCATGGGGCAAGTGAGAAGGACTGCTCATCTTCTTTATCCTCGCAACAAAATGCATAGGTTGTGCAGATAACGCTGCATAGCCACGCCCATCATCACTAGGTCTTATTTTTGGGGTAGGGTGTATATTGTGCAAATGCTTAGAAATCCTGCTAGCGCTTATTTTATGGGTAGGTCTTATTTTCAGGGAAACACGTAATAGAATTTGGAGCTTTAACATAAAATCGACTTGCAGTCAAAATGAAGTTGGAAAGTAAAATTCGGTATCACAAATTCTAATTATTTTGTGTTAAATGGGAAAAGTCTCCCAAACCCATAAGAACTTAAGACAGGTTTATGTAAAAGTTGTAACAAAAGCTATTATTTTAGTTCCCAGTAAAAGTGTGCAGTTCAATTAAAAAGAAATTAAACCAAAGCCAAAATAATATGTAGTTTCACTAAATTCACCCCAATCACTTGGTTTGAATAACTCTCCCAAGTTGGAAAAAAAATTTTAAGTTTTAAAGTAAAAATCTACCTTTTCAAAAACATTATGTCAAAAGCAAAGTAGAAAGCCCCTGCCCATCTCAAAGTCCAAGCAAAGACTTTGAAGGCCACAAAGGCAATGCCAAAAGGCATTCACAACCACAAAAAATATCTGCATGTCATCCACCTCTGAAGGCAACTCAAATATCCAAGGAAGAATGCTCCCACGAAAAAACAAGCCTTATCATTATGCCATCATCTCAAATTTCCCCATTACTGAGTCAGCCACAAAGAAGAAAACAACACATTGTGTTAACTTGTGGATGTCAAGGCTAACAAGCATCAGACCAAACAGGCTATGAAACTCTATGACATTGGCATGGGTAAGATCAGCATCCTCATCAGGCATGATGGAGAAAAGAAGACATATGTTTGACAGGCTCCTGACTATGATGTTTTGAATGTTGCCAAGAAAACTGAGATCATCTAAACTGAGTCCAGCTAGCTAATTCTAAATATAAAATTGTCAGCATATTAAAAAGTCTACAAAACTGCAGTCCTTAAATGAGATGTCAGATAAGTAAAAGGACTTGGCATATAACAGAATGCTCCAAAGCTGCCATGTAAGAAGTCCAACTACCCTGTTATCACCATGCTTTGATGAAGGCAGCCACACAGGAGAGCTATCTGGTAGGAGGTATCATAACCAGGTGTGATAGATAGGGATCCATGTAGGGAAGGAGGTGGTAGCAGAAAAGGAGACTGGTAATATGCAGGAGGACTGATCAAATAAGTTAAAATATTAAGGATACCTGGAGTTAGTTTTTCACTGTCAGAGAAAGAAGTGACAAATATAAAAAAATAGAAAAGAACGAAACTTTCTTCTGGTCTATTGGATTGGAATCAAAGGTATCACCATGAATGAATGTCTCTTAATATAAAAATATAGATGCAGCTCCATATACATAGATACATCTACACATACATTTTCCTTAGCTCTGTCTACTTAGTGGGCCCAGGAGCAGCAAAATCCCACTATTAATGTGCACATCAAGCACCCAGATCTTTGGCTTCTAAATACCACTCTCCACTAACAGGAACCAGGGATCCAATTATCTTCCCACAAAATATTAATTATAAAGGGGTAAACAATGACTTTACAGTGGGATAAGCTGAATAGTTGTCCCAAGACGTCCACAATCTAATACCTGGAACCTGTAAATATATTATCTTAAATGGCAAGAGACTTTATAGATATGACCAAATTAAGGATCCTGAAATAGGGCAATTATCCTAGTGGGACCAATATAATCACAGAAGTACTTATAAGAGGGAGGCAGAAGGGTCAAAGAGACAGTAATGTGACAACAGAAACAGAGGCTGGAATGATGCCCTTTTTGAAAAGAGGGAGAGGCACAAGGTAAGGAATACAGGCTATATCTAGAAGCTGGAAAAGGTAAAGAAACAGGTTCTACCCTAGAGCCTCCAGAATGAACCACTCCTAGCAACACTATGACTTTAGCCCAAAGAAACTGATTTTGGACTTCCAGCCTCCAGAATTTTAAGAGAATAAATTTGTGCTATTTTAAACCACTAAGCTTATTACACAATAGGAAACAAATACAGAAAACCTAAGACAGTCACTACCTTAACCAAGTGATGATCGGTGAATATCACTAGTAAGAAGATGACCTGAAATCAGATATCACATGACAGAATGCAATGAAAAGAACACAGAATCAGTTTTGTGAAATTCCTGCTTAGGATACATTACCCGAATCTAATCATAAGAAAAAAACAGAAAACCCAAATTCAAGTTTATTCTACTAAATAAATGGTCTGCAATTTTTAAAGTAAAGGAAAAGTGAAGAAGCAACCTCAGACTGAAGGAGACTAAAGGAACACATCAACTAAATGTGATGTGATTCTGAAATGGATCTTGTGCTATAAAGGACATCATTGAGATAAGTGACAAAACCTGAATGGGCGGATTGCTCAAGGTCAGGAGTTCGAAACCAGCCTGAGCAAGAGCAAGACCTCGTCTCTACTATAAATAGAAAGAAATTTATTGGCCAACTAATATATATAGAAAAAATTAGCCGGGCATGGTGGCGCATACCTGTAGTCCCAGCTACTCAGGAAGCTGAGGCAGAAGGATCGCTTGAGCCCAGGAGTTTGAGGTTGCTGTGAGCTAGGCTGATGCCACGGCACTCACTCTAGCCTGGGCAACAAGTGAGACTCTGTCTCAAAAAAATAATAATAATAATACTAATTTCATGGTTAAATTATGAACACTTTTGAAAATACCACTTGTGATTTTTAAACATGTTTTAAATTAAGCCTTTATAGTCTATATTTTCAAGTATAAAATCAAGAAAATGTTTGATGAGGTTTTATAAGAATAATGTTGTAGTCTCTTAATGAACCAGATGGTTTGATCTATTCAAAGGTATGATATTCTAATGTCCCCAGTCAAGAAAAAGTACACATGGTTTTCAGCCCCCATAGTCTAATATTACACAATGTGTACATGTACCTTGAAAACCACAGTCTTCCAACCTAAAAATTAAATCTTAACCTTTCAGGGTTATATTTAAGTCAATAAATACTACTATAGGGTATGGTTTGTACATTAACATGGTGGCATTTAGATTTCCAGCACAACTAAATATTCATCGTACACACTGTAAATCTCTATATGAATGATGTCAAGTCAAAGTAACTATCACAGGTAGAGTCCTTCCACAGAGTTTTTTATTTTTATTTTTTTGTAGAGATGAGATTTCTCTGTTGCCCAGGCTGGTTTCAAACTGCTAGGTCAAGCAATCCTTCCACCTCAGCCTCCCAAAGTATGGGGATTACAAGCATGAGCCACCAGGCCTGGCAGACAGTTTTTAATAAGACATTAAGAAAACTACAGAGAAGTTCATTAATAAACTTCTAGTCTATAGAATTACTAGTTTAACTTATTAAAAATTATGCTAGGGATATCATTAATTTATGATATCATATTTAAAGAAATTATCTACATTTATAGAAAAAGGAAATTCTAAGGTCATAAAACATTACAAACATATCATCCTCATTTGTATAGTAGTAACTCTGCCTGTCAAAAAATTAAGAAAATATAGAAAGGAAAAAAACAACACATCACGATCACTGTCAGCAGTTGAACTTTATTTAGTAAAGTTGCAGGATAATCCAGATTTGGGTTAGGTTGTGCTACATAAAACTTTGCCTTTGCTAAAACAGTCACACTTGTCCATGCTAGGATGATCAGCCAGTCCATAGCATTACTAAGTGAACTCTTAGCACCATATAATAGAACCCAGAGAGTTGAAGGAATGTTAGCCAGATCTGAAGTTTTCAAACATGTTTAGCTGCTTGCCACAAAAGAAAAATCACATACCCCCTTGTAGGTTTCTAATATGGCATCTAAAATTTTTCATCCTAAGTTAAAAGTATTACAAAGTATGTCATCTGTCATAAACCTGACATTTTAAAATGAGTACACCCTTTTTAAATGTATCCAATGAAATCTAAAAACCATAGCAATTTCATACAATCATTCATTTACAAAAATTCATGAAAAAGCCCTTCATTGTACCTCCCCCACATAATTTTATCCTAATGTAACATTTTTATTGTAAGTCATTTCTTGTAACACTGAAACA